GGCTACTTAATTCAAAATAATGTAATGCTTTGACATCTTTTAAAAAATGAATTAACTCAAAAAAATGATGCATTTTGTTAACGTAGCCGTGTGTAAAATAAAATAATACATACATAACATTTATACAATTTTGTTTAGTATAAAAAATAAAAAGTTCAAAAAAATAAAGTTTATATGAATAAAAATACTGAATTTATTAATAACTTTGGAACAGCTAAAATGATTAGAAAATAAATACACATAAAATAAATGTCGGACAACATGACCGATAGATGTCTTTTTTTTACTGGACAAGTGCCAGACAATGTCCAAGCCGTATATATATATATATATATATATATATATATATATATATATATATATATATATATATATATATATATATATATATATATATATAAAAATTTATATTTATCAAATATAAATATATATTTTTTGACTGCTGAAGTTTATAACCCCAGTCTTAAGAAACTCATTATAATGAATTTTATGCAAGAAGAAAATTTCTTAATTCTTTTTTTTTTATGCGAGCCATGAGCCAAAAATAACTAGTGTAAACCAGTTTAGAAAGTGTAAAGATAGCTAAAGCTTTCGAATCCCATCAAGGCCTGTTTTTTTGTTTTGTTTTTTTTTAAGGTTTTGCCTTTTTCGTATCTTTTAGGTGACTGCAGTTTCCTGTATAAAAAATAAGTGAAGTTAGGTTTGAAATTAACTAAAAAATATTAGTTTACTTACAAAAAATGGTAATGCTCCATCCTTGACCTAGCAAATAATCAATCTTGAATTACTTGCTAGGCCCTATAATCACTGAAATTTTTTCTCTAAAAGTATATCACTTGGGTCTTAAAAGAACAAAGATTTTAAAATATATAATCCTTTTTTACAATTTTTTTTTTTTTTAAATATTATTGCTATTAAATATCTTAATAAAGTTAATATATCAATTTTTGTTTTAAAAATGTTGTTATTTTGTAAACAAAATTAAAGTAATTGATTTATAACCATTATTAATTATGAAATCTTTATAAAGCTCTGGTTATTTTAAAATTTGTTTCTCCACGCAGCGGCCTTGTTCATCAAGGTTCGTATTTTGGAGTTATAGAGTTGAGAGAGGGTTCAAACCACAATTAAATTAACCTCCTGGTAGGAAATGAGCTAGCAATTAGCTAATATTATGAATATTAGCTAATTGCTATTTTTAAATTTATAGTTTAGTATTTTTTTTTTTTGTCTGATAGTTTTTATAAATTTCAAACAAATATTTTAATCTTTAAAACCCCTTTTAAATTTATTTCATAAAAATTTTAATGTAATTTTAATGCTTATAGAAACCAGTTCTTTTTATTACACTATTAAGTTTGAGTTGTTACATAACGCTTTTTTTCATGCTAAATGATTTTGTAGCAGTTTGTCACTAGCTACATATCATATATGTAGCTATATACTAAATGAATTTCAATATGAACCAGTCATAAAAAAAGTTTGCAAATTAAAACTAATATTTACACAATCACCTACCAAGAACAACATCTTACAAAAATATATTAAGGCTAAATTTGGAAAACAACTATCTTTAATAATGGACCACAGCCTTCTATTAATGCTTAAACAATTTTACAACAAAAAAAATTGTATACAAAAACCATTAATTGATATTTACCCAGTCCAAAATAATTCTATAGCATGATAAAGTGACAACATTATTAGAGATTATTACATCTTTAGCTCCAAATTAAAGCAGCGGTTGAAGCACTATGTTGCAGAGATACTAATCTTTTTACAGCCGACAATTAGTTTTATGCTTAAAAAATAATAAGATGCTCTAGTTAGAATATCAGTTGAGCCTGATATGCTGAATTTGATTGAGAAATCTGAAACGGTACTTAAGTCTGTAAGTAATCTATTTAAGCATTAAAGAGAAACTTGATCGTGCTATTAAAAAATAATATCTACTGATGCAACCAGTTAGACATGATAAATTGTTATCAAAAATTCAAAAAGAAAGGACTATTTACACAGCCAGATAGTATACTTTAGATTGTTTATATTTTCCCAAAAATTTATCACTTATTGCAATTAAGGTTAGCAGGGTAGACTAGTTAAAATAGATAAAACCTGGTATTATCCAAGTAAAATTTAAAGCTAAAAATACTTAATTTTTCTGTATTTTCTGTACTTAATTTTAATTATTTTCATTCTGGTTACAACTAAATTAAAATCTTCTTTTTTTTTTTCAATTTTGAGGAATAATCATTAACTATAATTGTAATTAAATCATAATTGTTACTAATGGTAAAAATTTTATTTTGTAGAAAAATAGTAAAAATGATTATAATTTTTTGATATATTTGCATATTTTGAACATATTTCATGAGCAGCCATGATGAATATTGCAACAAATTTCATGTCTGTAAATTGTATTTTATTTTCTTGATTCTTAATTTTACAATTTATAAACTATTTGAAAATAGTATTACATAGGGCGATTATTTAGAAAGAGAAACCATTTTAATTTTGTTAAATTAAAATGGTTTCAGTTCAAATCGTTATATTTCAACCAATTTGAAGAAAACTTTGTGGGTCACTATCTTTGATTTTCC